ACGGACTCTCGTCCTAAACCTAGCCCCGTATACTTCAGATTGATTTTGGGTTCCATACCTGAGTTCTAGAGCCGCTACCAGTGCTCTATAGTTGTGTCTGTCGTCTGCTGACAACTGTCTAAGTATTTTCAGTGGTTGTCTCTTCAGGCTTGTTGCCAGATATACTGCTTTCTGCTCCTCTATGCACCCATTCATCTCTGCCAGGAGCTCAACTTGTGCTCTATATGCTTCCCAGGGTGCCTTCCCTTCGAATTCCTGTGGCTTTCTTCTCACTAGATCACCCCTATTGCTGACATTAATATCTGGGATGTGACTTCTAACGGGACTGAAGATGTCTGCATTAGGGTTTAGCTGTGGGGTATGGAAGGGGCTTCCCATTGTCTGGGGCTGATTAAGTCGATGGCTAATATATCTTCCTTGTGCAAAAGACAATAAATCATTCTTTAATGTATTTGATTCGCTTTGAAATTGACTAATGTTTTCCATTTGTGTATTCTGGCTTTCTCTCAATTGTTGGAGACTTTCTTCTTGTTTATTTTCTTTCTTTTCCATCCACTGCTGTAGTCTCTCTTCTTGTTTATTTTCTTTCTCCTCCAATAGCTGTTGTAATCTCTCTTCTTGTTTCTTTTCTTTTTCCTCCAACAACTGCTGTAATCTCTCTTGTTTATTTTGCTGTTCGAGCTGCCACTGTTGCAGGTTTTCTTGCAACTGCTGTTGTCTCTCTTCTTGTTTCTTTTCTTGTTTATTTTCTCGTTCTTCTTGTTTCTTTTGCTCTTCTTGTTTCTTTTGCTGTTCTTGTATTGCTGCCATCAAATCTGCTAAGGTGTAGTTTGATTTGCCGCTTCTCGTTTCCATCTTGACACCAATTTGTTACTCTCTGGTCGTTAGTTTGTTTCCCGTGTAATTTCTTTCTGATGAAACTTTAGCGACTCAAGTCCTTTCTTAAATAAAACTGGTTTATTCTTTCTGAATACAACTTTGTAATACACTTAATTTCCACATCACGCTATAACAAACGCTATAATTCACAACGAACGACTCACGTGCTCGACTGAATCGTCAGTCTCTCTCTCTGTCTGCAGTTCAATTACATTCCATTGTTGCCGTCACTTCTTACTGGTCTTATATATATGAATACCGCATATCTAGTAAACACTCGAGCATTCACGAACCATCGAGAATATGACGTGTTACTAGCGTAACGTGACTTCCGCTGTCGTAACAATATACATCGTATCCTCCAAACTGACATACATTTTGTTTCCATTACGAATTCAAAATCAAAGGTGTTTAGAATTAGCATGTCAGATCTATCTTTTGTCTCCTACAAAGGCCTTTCGTTTAATACCAGCACATTATCAGTTAACGTGATTTTTGTCAAACATTTTAGGCCCATTGGTTTCTAAAACTTTACCAGCTTTCGGCAAAAAAATAGCAACTGACAAATATTCTTATATTTATATTATATTATATTCTTATGAAATATATACGACTTAAAAGTAATTTTAGTTAGTGAGAAAACAATTTACGTATGGTTTTCAAACACCCTTTGCCATTTCTAAATTTGGTTGAATAAAACTTACGATTTTTAATATGCATCTTTTGAAATCAAAACAAGGATTTTTTTCTTTATAATAATTTATACTTACAATGGTTCGAAGTAAACAGACTAACAACAGATAGCTGTTGATTTTCCAGTGATGATAATAACATCTGATACATACAAAGATAACCCTGAATATCACAATAAAATGAAATTGTAAAGAATGTTTGGGAAAGTGTTCTGTCATCTAAAGTATACAGTGCTTGTTTCTGTTCCTGTTAATTTTAGCTTGTGTTTTGAGATCAATATTGTTTGTTTTTGTCCAGTTGCGATCTAAAACATCGTTTATTCAATTTAAGTCGATAAGTCGTGCTTGTCTAAGTACAGATGTGCTAATGTTCTAGAGCTAAATCAGTTGATTGTACTATTGTAAGTAGAGGTTTACTACAGTTCTGGAGCTAAATCAGTTGGTTGTGCTATTGTAAGTAGAGGTTTACTACCGTTCTGGAGCTAAATCAGTTGGTTGTGCTATTGTAAGTAGAGGTTTACTACAGTTCTAGAGCTAAATCAGTTGGTTGTGCTATTGTAAGTAGAGATTTACTACAGTTCTAGAGCTAAATCAGTTGGTTGTGCTATTGTAAGTAGAGGTTTACTACAGTTCTAGAGCTAAATCAGTTGATTGTGCTATTGTAAGTAGACGTTTACTACAGTTCTAGAGCTAAATCAGTTGGTTGTGCTATTGTAAGTAGAGGTTTACTACCGTTCTAGAGCTAAATCAGTTGGGTTGTGCTATTGTAAGTAGAGGTTTACTACAGTTCTAGAGCTAAATCAGTTGGTTGTGCGATTGTAAGTAGAGGTTTACTACAGTTCTGGAGCTAAAACAGTTGGTTGTGCTATTGTAAGTAGAGGTTTACTACAGTTCTAGAGCTAAATCAGTTGGTTGTGCGATTGTAAGTAGAGGT